TCACAGAACTCTCAGTAAGCTGTGGTATGTCGATCATTGCGCTAGGTAGAGAAAGAAAAGCGTGTGCTGCTATGACATGCCCAGATTTCCTTGTTTCAGTTTTGAAGCGAGTTGTTTCGGTGTGCGCATAGTTACATTGTGGAAGAATACAAGTGAGATATCTTAGGGTTGACAGGGTGTTCAATATGGTGATGACAGAGTGAACAATATGGCATACAACACCGAATGGCCCGAAGTTGCAAAACTACGATCCGAATGAAACGCTTCGTGAAAATCCAGGGTTGCGAAGTGGTATTTTGTTGGAAAATATAAAAGCCAGGATTTTGTGCAGCGCCGAATTTTAACAAAAGAGGGTTTTGTGTTCTCAAGATGAACAGAAAAGGGTTGCTGTGCTGTTTCGTTTTAAGCTTATTTTAATCTTGAGGTATCTAATTAAATATTAAAAGGATACAAAAATTAAAGCTAAAATTTAAAATATATGTACATATCTGAAAATTTCAAATAAAATATATATTTTCACGAGAGACAAATTAAATAAAATGGGTTAACTTTAGGGGAAATATACTTATCAGATTGGGTCAGATAGCGCTTTTACGTTATAAATAAAAATAATTCCTACTTAAATTTTATATAATTTTGGTGACGTATTTCTAAGCTGACCCTGAGATCTGTGAAATAATACATATTTATGTGCATATATTGTGTTGATTATGCTCTAAATCGCTAAATAATTCTTGCAGCAATCAGCACCATTGGAAAGTGAAGTGACAATAGGCAGTTTTCTTTATACAGCCCGTTTTAAATTCGAATTATTGTTATAATAAATTACAATTATTGTTTGTTTCCATTTCGGTCAACCGCGCAAATTATTTATTAAAAAAATGTCGTTTAAAAATAGCAGATTTTGTTTACTTTTGAATAAGACTTTATCGAGTGCGCTATAAAGACAGGGGTATAAATGCTGTAAAGAAATATATGTTGAGTCCAATCGGTTTTTTGCTAATACGGTTCTTGTGTAGGTATAAACAAGGTATATTAAAAAAAAATACCTCTCCATGAAAAAATATCGTTATTTTCGTATTTAAAATTAATCGAAATTTTATTGGGGGTTATAAAAACTTGTTTTAATCGAAACTTTGTTTTTCGGCTATATTTGTTATTATTTATTGGCCCAGATGCAAATATTGAATGAACTAACATATTTTAAATATTTACGGAACTACCATTTGTATGCAACCCTGCCTATCCTATATTCAAGTAGATGTAATTCGAAAAATTTAAACGGATTTTTTCAAATCAGCCTGAGCTGTGGACATATTGCGAATTCATTTTTAAACATTAACCACTACATTATGTTAGTATTAAATACTTTCAATTCAGAAACAATTCTTATTAGAAAATAAATATGAATCGTTTTATTTTAAATATTCCAATGTATATTTTTTGTTAATGCAGATAGTGCGGATTTAACGTATTTTATACCCGTTACATGGGGAACATAAATTTAAGGCAGATTGCTATTAACAATTTTTACACAATTTACGATTGCAATCAATTTCTTTCAAAACTATAATCTAAATGATTGCAAGTTGTATTTTTTACGATCAAAACAGATTCCAATATTAGGTATATTATGGAAATGCAATCCAATTTGATTTGAGTTATTCAGTTTTAGATACATTTAAATTTCTGTGTTCGTATGGAATATGGAATTATGTCGGGAAGCTGGCTTTAGTATAATCCGGCATTCCCTTTATTATTTACAACACAAGGAATTTTTTGATGACCCTTAACAAGAATATGGACGTGCTAGTATCGGAACTATTTCTTGCACGTTTATTTGCCAAAATTTCTTCAACGGCTCGGCGCCAGTGAGGGTATGCTGCGAATGCCGCATTATACTAAAACCAGCCTTTTGACATAAGCTACTATTCCATACGAGTGGGGCACGTGCGATATGCGGATTTTCCCAGTTGCTGTACTGCAGTAACTCGACACCTTCCTCTCCAACAGCTCTGTCCTCTATGAGCTTCTTAATGTAAATGCAAATAAAAGATGGAAATTTAAGAAAAATTACTATCACAGCATTTCACTTGTAGTGTTTCACTCTTGTAGTATATTGGCTATCAAGCACCAGAAAATTTC